TTCACATAGCATTGTTGTAGCATTGGGAATGGATTAGCATAGCATTGTTGTGGCATTGGGAATGGATCCACATAGCATTGTTGTGGCATTGGGAATAGATTCACATAGCATTGTTGTAGCATTGGGAATGGATTCACATAGCATTGTTGTGGCATTGGGGATGTATTCACATAGCATTGTTGTGGCTTTGGGGATGGATTCACAAAGCATTGTTGTGGCTTTGGGGATGGATTCACATAGCATTGTTGAAGCATTGGGAATAGATTCACATAGCATAGTTGTAGCATTGGGAATGGATTCACATAGCATTGTTGTATTATTGGGGATGGATTCACATAGCATTGTTGTGGCATTGGGAATGGATTCACATACATTGTTGTGGCATTGGGAATGGATTCACATAGCATTGTTGTGGCATTGGGAATGGATTCACATAGCAGTGTTGTGGCATTGGGAATGGATTCACATAGCATTGTTGTGGCTTTGGGAATGGATTCACATAGCATTGTTGTAGCATTGGGAATGGATTCACATAGCATTGTTGTAGCATTGGGAATGGATTCACATAGTATTGTTGTAGCATTGGGAATGGATTCACATAGCATTGTTGTAGCATTGGGAATGGATTCACATAACATTGTTGTGGCATTGGGAATGGATCCACATAGCATTGTTGTATTATTGGGGATGGATTCACATAGCATTGTTGTGGCATTGGGGATGGATTCACATAGCATTGTTGTGGCTTTGGGGATGGATTCACATAGTATTGTTGTGGCATTGGGAATGGATTCGCATAGTATTTTGTAGCATTGGGAATGGATTCGCATAGCATTGTTGTGGCATTGGGGATGGATTCACATAGCATTGTTGTGGCTTTGGGGATGGATTCACATAGCATTGTTGTGGCATTGGGAATGGATTCACATAGCATTGGGAATGGATTCACATAGCATTGTTGTGGCATTGAGAATGGATTAGCATAGCTTTGTTGTGGCATTGGGAATGGATTCACATAGCATTGTTGTAGCATTGGGAATGGATTCACATAGCATTGTTGTAGCATTCGGAATGGATTCGAATAGCATTGTTGTGGCATTGGGAATGGATTCGCATAGCATTGTTGTAGCATTGGGAATGGATTCGCATAGCATTGTTGTAGCATTGGGAATGGATTAGCATAGCATTGTTGTGGCATTGGGGATGGATTCACATAGCATTGTTGTAGTATTTGGGATGGATTCACATAGCAATGTTGTGGCATTGGGGATGGATTCACATAGCATTGTTGTGGCATTGGGAATGGATCCACATAGCATTGTTGTGGCATTGGGAATGGATTCGCATAGCATTGTTGTGGCATTGGGAATGGATCCACATAGCATTGTTGTGGCATTGGGAATGGATTCGCATAGCATTGTTGTAGCATTGGGAATGGATTCGCATAGCATTGTTGTAGCATTGGGAATGGATTAGCATAGCATTGTTGTAGCATTGGGAATGGATTCGCATAGCATTGTTATAGCATTGGGAATGGATTCACATAGCATTGTTGTAGCATTGGGAATGGATTCACATAGCATTGTTGTGGCATTGAGAATGGATTAGCATAGCATTGTTGTGGCATTGGGAATGGATTCACATAGCATTGTTGTAGCATTGGTAATGGATTCACATAGCATTGTTGTAGCATTGGGAATGGATTCGAATAGCATTGTTGTGGCATTGGTAATGGATTCACATAGCATTGTTGTAGCATTGGGAATGGATTCGCATAACATTGTTGTAGAATTGGGAATGGATTCACATAGCATTGTTGTAGCATTGGGAATGGATTCGCATAGCATTGTTGTTGTGGCATTGGGAATTGATTCGCATAGTATTTTGTAGCATTGGGAATGGATTCGCATAGCATTGTTGTGGCATTGGGAATGGATTCGAATAGCATTGTTGTGGCATTGGAAATGGATTCGCATAGCATTGTTGTAGCATTGGGAATGGATTCGCATAACATTGTTGTAGAATTGGGAATGGATTCACATAGCATAATAATAATAATAATAATAATAACTTTATTGCATCCTTAGAAATACAATGTTTCTATCAGTTAATAGCAATAAAGATTAGTTGTGATAACTACTACTACAAAAAGAAAGTTAGTTGTTAAAAAAAAAAAAAAAAAAAGATAAAGCAAGTGTTACATATCAAATGGCATTTTTATTTCTTGATTGAAATGCAGTATGAATATAGTTGCCAATCTTTTTTATTATTACATCATACATCATCTTTTGAATTGTTGTAGCATTGAATTGATTCACATAGCATTGTTGTTGCATTGGTAATGGATTCACATAGCATTGTTGTAGCATTGGGAATGGATTCACATAGCATTGTTGTAGCATTGGAAATGGATTCACATAGCATTGTTGTGGCATTGAGAATGGATTAGCATAGCATTGTTGTGGCATTGGGAATGGATTCACATAGCATTGTTGTAGCATTGGGAATGGATTCGCATAGCATTGTTGTTGTGGCATTGGGAATTGATTCGCATAGCATTGTTGTAGCATTGGGAATGGATTCGCATAGCATTGTTGTGGTATTGGGAATGGATTTGCATAGCTATGTTGTGGCATTGGAATGAATTCACATAGCATTGTTGTAGCATTGGGAATGGATTCACATAGCATTGTTGTGGCATTGGGAATTGATTCGAATAGCATTGTTTTGGCATTGGGAATGGATTCGCATAGTATTTTGTAGCATTGGGAATGGATTCGCATAGCATTGTTGTGGCATTGGGAATGGATTCGCATAGCATTGTTGTGGCATTGGGAATGGATTCCCATAGCATTGTTGTGGCATTGGGAATGGATTCCCATAGCATTGTTGTGGCATTGGGAATGGATTCACATAGCATTGTTGTGGCATTGGGAATGGATTCCCATAGCATTGTTGTGGCATTGGGAATGGATTCACATAGCATTGTTGTGGCATTGGGAATGGATTCCCATAGCATTGTTGTGGCATTGGGAATGGATTCACATAGCATTGTTGTGGCATTGGGAATGGATTCCCATAGCATTGTTGTGGCATTGGGAATGGATTCCCATAGCATTGTTGTGGCATTGGGAATGGATTCACATAGCATTGTTGTGGCATTGGGAATGGATTCCCATAGCATTGTTGTGGCATTGGGAATGGATTAGCATAGCATTGTTGTGGCATTGGGAATGGATTCACATAGCATTGTTGTGGCATTGGGAATGGATTCGCATAACATTGTTGTAGAATTGGGAATGGATTCACATAGCATTGTTGTGGCATTGGGAATGGATTCGCATAACATTGTTGTAGAATTGGGAATGGATTCCCATAGCATTGTTGTGGCATTGGGAATGGATTCCCATAGCATTGTTGTGGCAATGGGAATGGATTAGCATAGCATTGTTGTAGCATTGGGAATGGA